CTTACAAATACAATCGGTGATGTTAGGAGCCGTTATATGACATGCGGTTGGGAGTTGAACAGCTAGGGTTGCGTTAATCTTGAGACCAAGTTGAGGATCATCTTTGTCTTTGATCAATACGCAAACACACTTCTCACTCTTTGCTATAACTTGACCAAACCCTCCACAACAATCTTTTGTTGGAGCCTTTGCGTCTCCTCCAACGTAAGGAAGACACGTTGCAAGTGCTAAGAGCTGGTCCGTACATTCTTCTCTGTCTTTAGCAAGATCCGATCTTACAAACCCTACCAACATGAAGGTTATGATCATCATGGTTGCGATTGAGTGCTCCATGGTTCTATGTTGTGGTCTCTTGTGAGATCTCTCTCTATATATGATATTGTAATGTAACAAATGTTGGTCACTCTTTAGCTAGTTAAAAGGGTGTGATCGTGTATATATATACGACTATGTAAGTGTCGATGTGTTGGTTGGATGATGGGAATTTATTACTTACTACAGTAGATAAAAAAGTATCAATATATTTATTTAGCTAGATAAAAAGGTATCAATATATTTATTTATTTTTGGAGAGTTAATTATGGCTTACAATTTTTCAAAGGAATCAGCTAATCCATTGGGGATAAAACGTTAGCAAATCAACTGAACTTAATTGATATGATGATTAGTGGTTTTTAGAGATATTTGGGTTTAACTAAAGTCTATTTAATTTTAAACTACAGTCATTTGATTGTTATATTTCTTAGTGGCTTAAATGGTTTAATTTTTTTCCAGCCAAAAAAGTATTTTGTCCATTTGAGACTTTTGTTCGCAAAATATATTTTCCCGGTTATGGCATTTTTTTATTTATGAAATAAATTGAATTTCTAAAGTTGTCAATCCACAGTATATGTGGGTCAATATGTCTCTCTCTCTATATTTATATGAGCAGAAAAATTATATAATGACATAGACTATCTTACTACGTCAACCGTTTCTTTGAGGATATATATGCAAAGTTATAAAAATTCGAACCAACAACTAAATCAAATGTCTAATTCATACAACCCTAATTAGACATTTACACGCATTAGCGCTTAATAACTTGGTACTTCTTTAGAATACGAAATCTAAAATTTAGATGATGTTTGATAAGAGATAGCTAGTATACAAAAGTGTAAAACTTCTATATTTTTCATTGAATAGTTAATTTGGATCCTCAACAATTGGATAGAGATTGCAAGTGTAAAGTGTTGTCACATCGGTTTTGTTAAAATAATTTTCGTTATTATATTCAATAATTTCAATCAGATTATTCCATTTTTGAATCATTCTACATAATGTACAATCATAATATTTAAAGGTAGATGGCGAAATGATAAGCCTACATACAGTTTATGAGAGCCATTAATGGTGGTCGAGCCCTAGGAAGTTAAGAACTCTGCAATTTTGCATGCATGTGATTGGGATTTTTAAGCCACTCAGAATTATTGTCCTTTTGTGGTTCTAATTATATTTATTAGTATATCTGCAACTACATCTGCAAGTTGCAGATATTCAGTGTATATTTTTTGTTTTTATATTGATAATATACGTGTGATAGATATCTCTAGATTTTCTAAACTTTATGTTATTTTTGCATGCGGATTTTATAAAAATGAAACGATACTTTTCTTCTTTACCGAGTGAACTAAAACTACATTGTTTGATGGATCCTAAATCCTAGATCAGTTTCTATTTTCGGCCAATATATAACTTTCCTATTGATGAAAATGATATGTACCGGTTACC